CTGCATTTCAGCACATCCATAGCAAGTGTCATCGATAAGCTTATTTCTTCCCGTGTCCCTATCACTGTCCACCTCTCTGTCCTAAAAGTGTGATGCAGAAAATTGGCACAGGAAATAAGTTCTCCGATCGATTTGTGCGTTGAGAAAAGTCGTTGTGCCATCGATTTCGACTTTGGCAGCGTCTCCAGGGAAGTGGCACCGCTTTCTCATCGGGTACATGGATTTCCTATTATCAGTTTAGTCCTCCGATTGCAGTTCTCGGGTAGATGCCTCCTAACCGCTGATTAAGCTGCGACGTTGTTACCTCTTCCCATTGGGATGGTGAAAGAAACAAGGAAGTATTTAGTTGCCTTTAATTTGCAATCCGCGGTAAACGCCTCTTTTGGATTTCCCCCATAAACTTTTCTTGTATCTCGAAGTTTTAAAATACTTTGGGATCTTTGTTCGGTCCGATTGCCTTTACATTAAGGAGGTAATCTTAGAGGTGATTGCAGCGAAGAGATTTCTGAGAGATTTATCTCTGAATGAGAAGGAATAAAATGTGAGATATGAGACGTATGGTTTTATGAGTTGTGGTATATCTGCTTATTTTTAACTATTTCACGGCAAAATTCTCATGAAATTCTCTCGTTCGACCACTGCTGTTTATACTTTATATGTTCAATTTTAAAAATAAATTTTTTTTATTATTTTTAATTTTAAGATTTTAATATATAATGTGTGTGTTAGCATTGTGACGCTAGAAATTTATATGAAAATTATATGAGTTTAAAAATAAAAATATGTGCCAAAAGTTGGAATTGAACCCATAAGCCTTAATATATTAACCACTTAATTGCCAATTAGTAGTTACGAGATTTCCTCCTCGGTTCCACCTTTTTTCACATAGGCACGCGTATGAGATGTATTGGGGGAGGGAGGGGGAGATGATGATGAGTTTGGTGTTTTATGGCGCAAGAGTCAGTTTTGGCTATACTGCGCCAAACATTCATAGGTCTGTGGTCTGGACGGGAAAAGAAGAAAAGGAGAAATTGGATGACACGATGGAGGGTCGAAAATAGAGAAGGATCACTGGGGTACTCCGGGGTCGTGACACCCGTGTTTACCAAAGTAAACCCCTTGGGAAAAGGAAAACATCACTGGGGTACCTCGGGATTGTGACACCCGTATCCAACTAAAGAAGGTGAGCCCCCTGAGGGGGGGGGAGAGGGGGAGAGGGGAAACAGAAAGCGCAAATAAGCAAATTTCTATTTAAAGTAAGCAAATCCTTCGTAAACACTGGCAAGGTCACATTTTATTGCATTCTAAAACTTTTAGAATTGTTATACTGATAGAAAAACAAAGAAAAAAAACTATTTTTAAAAGACGCATACATACGTCCAGGTCACTTAGGTACCGATTGAGCGAGACGGATATATACGACGGTGGAAGTTTAAGGGTTAAACAAAGTAAAAAATAAATAAATAAATCTGTCACCACGTATTTTTTTTTCAAATGCAAGAATAGAACTTAAAATACTTTTGGAAAAAACTTTATTTTCTATTTAAATTGTATATATTTTATAATTGTGTAAAAATCACGTAGTTTTTTTTTTCTTAATATTAATTCTTCACTTTTTGATTTTCTCATTTAAAACATTAGAAATTATCAGATAAAGTAACATAAGTGGGTATGATGTACAAAATAGACTCTACATCATCAACGTAATTCTCCTTTTATTGCAGAAAATGCTACACAATTCTGAAATAAATCACCGGTAAATAATACTGTTCTTCCGTTGCAGTAGCAGAATAATAACAATAAGCATTACCTACGATAAATCACGCATAATGGTAAGGTATCCAATCAATCCGCATTCTTTCTTTGTTTCTTATACTCCCTTGACATCTGCGCGTACAAAAATCCTACCTTTAATGGAAACAATGCAACAGATTTCGTGTATTAATATTTCTTCCTCATTTGTAGATATTATAATTGTAATTACTTTCCTGTTTGTGCTTCCGTGTTGTTTTTCTGCATTTTTCTTTCTACTATCTTACCACTTTTTCCCTTTCTTTTTCCAACTGCATGCTTCTAAGATTTTTGACAACAAAACGTCGAAATATGCATTGTGTTTAATGGTTGTATTATTTAAATTACGACCGATGCATTATGTTGCAACGAATAAAAATGCTAATTTCATGTTCGCCCTTTATTAAATGCCCAGGAGCAGTAGAGTAATTACTAAGAAAGATGGGAATTTGTAAGATTATGGTACTTTTTCTTGCCTCTCTCTATCTTTCCCGGTCTTTGAGAAAGAAGAAAAAATATATTAACGACGCACCGAAAAACGAAATAACGTTTTGATTAATGAAAACATCATAACTTAGGTATTTCTAACGGAAAAAGCTTCATTTGGGATTATTTAATTTATTATGTTTGAATTGCTTATAATATTTTCCTCGGGTTCTCTTCGTTTTCATATATTGCATTACTCGTTTCAAATCGCCCCATGATTCCGTTACCTGAAATTCAATATACGTTTAATGAGTCTGGCTTTAATAAAAAAGAGGTATCATTTAAATTGATTAACAAATTAATTTCCGAACCACATCATGTTTCCGACCATTCAAAACATTTTCATCTCTTATTCGAAAAATTGGAATAGATTTATTTGAATTGATATTCACAGAATTATTTTTTTTTATTACCAGAATACTTCACTATTCGGAATTCAAAGTAAGAGGTTAATTTAAAATGTGTTATTCATACTTTTGCTTTGTGATGAGCTTTGGAGTTTTTGAGCTTATTTAAGGAATTAAAAGCATGGAGTTATTAAATTTGTATTCGGATTTTCTGCAACCCGAATGATGTTTTAATTTTATTTTTGAATGATTAAATCATTTTACATAATATTTTTATACATGTCATGGACATATAATCGAGATTCCTTAAAGCAAATTGTTTTCATTCAGTAATAAATTAAAAAGCAGCCAACTAAAGATATTTTTTTAACTTTTAAAACGTGTAATTTCTTAGTATTTCAAGAATGTGTAATAAAATGTAATTTTTCTCTAAGTGCAGTTTAAAATTGAATTAGTTTGTGGATATAGTATTTACAGCCTGTAAGAATATACGTTGCTCATATTTTACATTTAATGAATACGGCATGCGTTTTAGTAAAAAGAACGTGCGCATAGTTTAAAAAATGTTCTTTGCACTATACAACATTGAGAGTAATTTGTTTCTACAGAAAAGCATTGCGTTTTTTTAAATGCTTTACCTATTCAAATAAATCGATAGCCTAATTTTTTTATTCTCCCTATTTTCCTGACTTTGTACCTTCTGATTATCACATATTTAGTGCATCGACCAATTCCTTCTCTCGAAAAATTTAAGATAAACCTTTGGTGAAACTACCATCAGGTTTTTATCGTTACGTATTACAGTTTTTACCAGAAGCAGGACACTAGCGAATTTGCTCATTATTTGATAACAAGCCTTTTGTGCTTCTTACATATCTTCCACGCTACAAAAAACGGGTAGAAATTTTGTATTTACCTAATACTTAAGTGTGATGTTCCTTTACAAAATTTAATAACTATTTCTACTCCAGGTCTACAATGGCAGGGTAATTTTTGTATTCTAATAAATAATTTACTTGAAAAAGAAATACTTACCTTAAAATCCGGACTTTCAAGCAACATTTTCAGTTTTTACGCATATTCGGCATATAACGCACACCTCCGTTTTTACGAAGCTACCTGAACTGTACAACTGCAATGCTCTTATATTTTGAAGTCATTTATTCGAAGTATTATCCCACACTTTTTAAAAAATAGTATATTCTTGAACCCTAATACTTTAAGTCAGTAGCGCACACAGGAATTTTTCAAAGTATGGAG